CTATTTCTTATAATTGCCACGCATCCCTAATGGAGCTTCCAGTTGGAACTGCAGACGATGAAGATGACGAGATCTTCGGAATGCTAGCGGTAGCCGACGACGAGCTCACTCTATCGTTGACGCTATCCTTTTGCAGGAGCCGACAACGTTTGCGTCCTCGACGCGGATCAGTATACGGTCGTGTGAAGTCAATGGCGCGTCATACTCAACTAGGGCATCATTCAATTATGCGTGACTATCTAGGCCCTAATCCAGTCTACGATGATACTATATTTCAGCAGCGATACGGGCTTCCATCCGAACTGTTCTGCCGCGTACTTCGCGAGGTAACCAGGTCTAATGCGTATTTTCAGCAGAAACCAGACGCCGTAGGTAAGATGGGTGCATCACCTGAACATAAGATGACTGCTGCGTTGCGTATGCTAGTCGGAGGTAGTCCTGCAGACGCGCAGAATGAGTGCTGCCGCATATCAGAGTCAACAGTAATGGATAGCTTTCATGGTGGACCGTTATGGGTGAGATTTATTTACGATCACCAACCGCTGATGATGATGCTAAAATCCTTGGCTTTAACAAGAGTCGAGGGATGCCCGTTCTTCTTGGAATGGTACGCGTTGATACTCTTAGTTGTGAAGTAAAAACAGAATCAATGTATTTTTTTTGTATTTGGATGTCTAGGATCTTCATTTCATCAAGTACAATATTTGTTAAAGCGGATGTATTTACTCGAGGCCTTCGAGGTCTGCTGACATCACATCTTCATCTTGTCGCTCTTTGGCAACGGGTGCTTCAGGTCCGTGTTAGCTCTCACTTCTGCGCTCTTCGTCTAGTACAATAACTTCGGCACCGCCGAAACCAATACTATCTCCACTAGGATAGCACTCATTACCGCTCTTATTACTAAATACTGGTATGTTGGGTCCTGCGAGGATCGCACCAAGTCGTTTTTTACGCATAAATGAAAAAAAATGCCTTCGACTCGTCCGATTCGATGTTTGTTCTGAACAAGTCAATGGTCATCTGCTCTTCAATGAGCTCGTTTTTTCGTTTCATTTCTGCCAAACAAATGCATCATTGCG